GGGTCCTGCAGGGATGTTTTATCCCTCTTATCAATTATGCCAGATGACGGGCAGGGTAGATGCCCGCCTCAAAAGCCATCCAGATTGGGTTGATAAGGGTGTAAAAACACATAAATTATTAACGGAAAAACTGAAATTACCAGAAGATCGTCTTGGGTTTTTTACCCCTTGTTTTTTTTTTGGGGGGGGGGTTGGAGGAGGTGGTTTGATATTGTTTTGTTTTGTCGGTTGGGTTGTTGTTGTTTTGTTGTTGCTCGTAGGGCTGGGTGATCAGAGGGGGGGGGTGTCTGCTTAAAGAAAGCACGGGTTTAGTATGTCATGGGCAAGAGAGCCGGCCAACCGTGGCGTGATATGACAAGATGTTATAGAGCCCAAAACATAATAAAAATTCTTAACTTTAAAGAACGATTTCTAAGCTCTCAGCATGTCTAACAGTCACACGGGCCCGTCCTTTCATAACAGATGAGACATTTGAATTCAGGTTGCCCCACTGGGAGAGCGCAGTGCATCCCGAACACACGAAAATAACTTTGCCAGACATGGGCGTGCACTCAAATAGTTTTTTGTTGTTGCTGAGAAGTTATCTAACATGCGTGTCTTTAAAGGACAGGATGTTTATAACTTTGGGTTAAGAAAATTTGCAAAGTTCAAGAAATCCTCTGATCCATCTAATGAACATGCTAACAGGCCGTGTCTTTGTGTGACAGGTTACTTTGAACTTTGGGTTCAGAACATTTCCAAAGTTCAAGAAATCCTTCTGGTCCTTCAAATGAACATGAAATCATTTCGGTTTGCATCTTGCAATCCGAAACTGTTGAAACCAACCTCATGGTACGTCAACGTTTGCTCTCTGGTTTATGAGCACAAGGTCTCTGTGGCACTCCATGTATGAATGTCCACGGAAAATCATCTTGGAGTAATGAAATCGCTGTTCAGTGTGGACAAGGTAATACAGAAATCGGGTTACTGAGTCAGTGTGCAGATTTTATTTTGTCCTCAGCAGAAGTTTCAGAAGAGCTCACGTTATATTTTTTTTTACGTATGTTGAAACAATTAAATTGAGGAATTTATAAACATATGGATGAACCATCGTTTGTCCCTTTTCTCCCTGTCTTCTGGTCATATACAAAAATACACACACCTGTCCCTGCTAGTTCATGAATGTTGAATTTGAATGGGTGTAGTATAAGTTGCTTTCGATAGTAAACAGTGTTGTGTAAGTCATAGATGTCCATCTACGAAAATTGCTCTTGTGCTCATGCAGTCCAGCTGTTCCTTTGTCCCTCCCCTGTACAAGCAACTAGGAACAATTTTTATTTTCACTTACTCAAATATATGCACACAGATGCAGTTTGGGGGGGGGGGGGGGCAGGGGGAAAAGGGGGGTGGGGGTGGGGAGTGTCAAACGCTGTATTTTTTCAGATTGTATAATATGTATGGCAGGCGCGGTTCGTCCATAGAGCACGGTCGTGCAGTGACGCCCAAAATGTTTTAATGTTCTATGACGTAAAGCACCCACAATAATAAAATAAAAGACGCCAGAAACAAACACTAGCCAAATATTATATCAAAACAAGGCCCTCGCTGGCGCCGTAACTGTAATTTCTATTCTATAGCGCCGTAAAACATCTACTATGCCATGCCTAAGTTCATGCGCTGTTTCTAAACATAACAGGATAGTCAATAGTGGAAACCTGACCTATAAATCGCTCTTTGGGATAACCCAAGCGATGACGACACTTGTAGAGAGTTTGGCGGTACATTAATATTAATAAGACGGCACATCTCAAATGTGCTCCTGCCGAATAGCGCCGAAACATAGCCCACAGTAGGCAATCTAAAAATAAATGTCATAGACTGTGCACTATTCCATGCCAAAATTATGTGGGTCCCGGAGCAATCCAGCGGAGTGCTCAAGGGAATTGTGATTGGTTCATTGTCTTGTCGCTATTTTAAGTAACTCTGTGACTGTGAACCTGAAGGAGGTAAACGTGACATACTTAAGTCGCCGTCATATGAGTTGTGCCTTTGAACGGATTTGTAGTGAAGTGGTGAAAGGTATTACTTGAGTGTTCAGTTCTAATGCAGGATGAATTAAATTGACGTTGAGCTAACAAACAGATTTAATTCTAGAAGTCAAAGCCACAAGTAAAAAGAATGAAAATAAAAGCACAAGGTCTTCCTTCACCAACCCAAAGATCCTAAAAGTATAATTATACACCATTCCATTAAACTCTGCCCTTGATTATCTACAGCCTAAGATAGCTTGATTGTGCACGCCAACTTCTTAGACCCACGAGCCGCCCCTGATATATGGCCACTGAAACTGTAGCAAATCAATTAGATATCTTTTTTCAAGAAAATTTCAAACCTAATTTCGAATCATCAAACTACGGGGAAAACGGACAGCCCCCCACTCCCTTAAAAACCTCCAGATTTTTTTTTAATCTCTGGGGGCATGTCCCCCTGAAACTCTGATTGATCCAAAGTGTGGGAGATTACTACACAGTTAGGCTTAACGTAACATTGTTCGAATAAAAACCATGTTGCTCAGTGTCGCCAGGAATTACCTTGCTAACTAAAGAGGGGAGGATTTCTAACGGCGATTCACTATGTCGCATACGGAGAGTGGTGGCCCTTGTGATGAGTATTGGGTTAAGTGGGAGACGTTCTCTTGACGTTTGTATAATATAATACGTATATGATATCATATATGTTATATGATGAATGATAAATACATGGAGTTGTCTGAGCATTGCACTTCCAGAGAAATAAGTCGTTATATTGCCTACGTGACATAAAACAACACTTGAATATCCCACGCGTGAAATATAGCCTGTTTTAGCGTAATTTGTGAAGGTTATTCTGCGCACTACATTCTCCCTACGTTTTAGTTTGTTTTGACTGTGAAGTTTAATATCAGAGTCATTTCTACTCTCACGACATCGCGGCAAAGATATGTTCCGAAATAAGCGAAGGAGGAATGCTCAATTTCAACAAGTCACCAATCTGAGGCTGATCATGAACTCACCCTCCGCCACAGAGGTTATAAATAGAACTAGAGGTATTAGCTGTGACGTCACGAGTGTCAAACTTGAGGGGCGAGCCGCCATTCCATGTTATTCTTTTTCATACTCTAAAACTCTATGAAGACCTAGGCTTTTCTTCAGTAGAAGGAGAATGTAGACAGCATGACATAAAAGCAATCCATTTTGTAAGTATGAAATTATCATTTTTCTTAACAAACTCAGTTTCTCACTTTGTCTCCCTCCGACCTTTCCCCCACTCCACCCAGGAAGAGCAAACAATAGATCTTCCAAATACATCTCTCTATTCAGTTGTAGCCCACATTTAAGTGCATTTATGTTTCCAATAATCAGTCAGCAGGTGTGTGCGTGTACATCAGGGACGGCTCATGGGGCAAAAAAGTGGACGTGCATAATTAAACTATCGCATGCTGAAGATAGTCAAGGGCATAGTAAATAGTAAATGAGACGGTGTATAATTTTAGGATCTTTGAGTTGGTGAGGGAGGGCCTCGTGCTTTTATTTTCCTTCTTTTTACTTGTCGCTTTAATTTCTAGTACTAAATTTGTTTGCTAGCTAAACATCAATTTCGTTCATCCTGTATTGGAACTGAACACTCAAGTAATAACTTTCACTACTCCACTACAAAACCATTCAAAGGCACAACTGACGGCCTGTCACGTTCACCTCCCTCAAGTTCACGGTCACAGAGTCACTTAGAATAGTGGCAAGATAGACAATGAACCAATCACAATTCACTTGAGCACTCCGCTGGGTTGCTCCGAGGTTCACATAATACTGGCAAAGAATAGCGTACGGTCTATCGCGTTTATTTTTATACTGCCTACTGTGGGCTATGTTTCGGCACTATTCGGCAGGACCACATTAGAGATGTGCCGGCTTATTAATATTAAGGCAAGCGCTACTTGCAACGCCGCGTTCTGAATAGCTCCCATGCTATTTGCAACGCCGCGTTCTGAATTGCTCCCGTGCTATTAGAAACGCCAGTCAGTACTAGAATTAGATCTAGATGCAG